TAATAATAACAATAAATTAGAGCAGCACCCTGGTCTACTACCCGAACTTAATCACGCACTAAATGATATCAAAACTTAAATTAACTTGAACAACAAAGTGTGTAAACATTGTATCATCCATTTTTCTCAAAACGTGAAGAAGGCATCAGCACAAGGATTACTATTAATTAATATTCTCCAGCAACGTCTTAAGTGCTTCACTGGATACTAAAATCTCGAGGAAATTTCAAAACAACATAACAAAAATTAGCATAATGTAGCCTACAGCGATACAGAGGACCGCCTACACTATGTATTGTCACGACCACTCAGCAACTGTAGAGGGTTGCAGCTGGAGGGGGCGTAGGAGGGGGGAGTGGGGGAGTGTCCTGGCCCAGAGAGGCGGGTGAAGGCGTGCTCTTGTTTACATAATAGTATTACATCGTCTTAATTTCTCAGGTGTTTAAAAAATTCCCCCAATAACGCCATAATCTGTATGAAAGGGCAAATTGTTTATCTTTAATTAATTTACTTCACAAAATTACCCGACAAATTCCTAAACAACTTACTGAAAAAAAAAATCATAAAAAAACACACGCATAAAACTCCCCTTTACTTAAAAACCAAACACCACATTTATCAGGTGAAAAAAACGAACAAAACAAATAATCGCTTTTTCGAACATATCACTCTCACAAAAACATCACCGAGAAATGTTTAAAACACTTGAGTATAAAATAATAATTAACGAAAGATTTACCCTAAAGGAAAGAGACAAAACCCCCGCCTTTAGTTACAAGCAAATTTCCAGGAGCAAATTTCTTAAAATAAGTTGAGAAGACGCACAAAAACGGGGGTGAATATCCCTAAAAGAACGACGCGGCGCAACACACACAAAAGACCAGAGTAAAAGCCCTCAACATCGTGTACTTTAGGCGCCTTGTGTACAGCTGAGGATGGCTCTCTTTTACCTCATGTAAATACTTTTAGAAGATGATGGTGGTGGTGGTGGTGGTGGTGATGATGGTAGTGGTGGTGGTGAAGATGATGGTAGTGGTGGTGGTGTGTGAAGATGACGGCAGTGGTGGTGGTGGTGGGTGGTGGTGAAGATGATGTAGTGGTGTGTAGGGAAGAACATGGTAGTGGTGGTGGTGGTGGTCATGATGATGATGGTGGCAGTGGTGATGTAGAGGATGGTGATGATGGTGGGTAGGTGGTGATATAGGTGATGATGGTAGTGGTGGTGGTGGTGGTGAATATGATGATGATGGTGGTGGTGGTGATGGTAGTGATGGTGATGGTGGTAGTGGTGAAGATGATGGTAGCGGTGGTGGTGGTGGTGAATATGATGATGATGGTGGTGATGATGATGGTAGTGGTGGTGATGATGGTAGTGGTGGTGATGATGGTGATATTGATGATGATAGCGGTGATGGTCATTGTGATGGTGATGATGTGGTGGTGATGATCAAGTTTATACTGCTTAACCAAAGATCTTTTTCATTTGCCGCCACTGTTAATGTATACAGGATGATGTGAGTGTGTGTGTGTGTGTGAGAGAGAACACCTCCCTACACACACACACACACACACACACAAGATGAGGTAATTCGCCTGCCACAGTTTATCTACACCCTCGTCACGGGAACAATACAAGGCTATAATCACTAGGCATTAAGGCTGAAAACCCGGTAAGAAGTGGAGGTGAGTAGAGCTTTAGATACAGCATAATAGTAACGCCCTTCTGTTAATGCTGAAGTGAATGGGTGGGCGTGTCAAGTGAATGGATGGGTGTGTCAAGTGAATGGGTGGGCGTGTTAAGTGAATGAGTGGGCGTGTTAAGTGAATGGGTGTGCGTGTCAAGTGAATGGATGGGCGTGTTAAGTGAATGGGTGGGCGTGTCAAGTGAATGGGTGGGCGTATCAAGTGAATGGGTGGGCGTGTCAAGTGAATGGGTGGGCGTGTCAAGTGAATGGGTGGGCGTGTCAAGTGAATGGGTGGGCGTGTCTTCCTCGGCAACCGTATTCTAATGGCTGTTTATATTACATCTAAATATAAACAGTAGAGTCCTTGTGTGAATTAGACGCCATTTTTGTATCGTAAGAGAGTTAGGTAGTGTTCTTGGATCACTATTTATGAAGAAATTATATTGTCGTAGAATTCTTAATTCATAAATTCTTAGTGAATCGTAAAGTTAAAAATTTTCCTCGTAATTTATAGTGATGTAAGAACGTATCATTTATGGCAACTCTCAGATACGGCAAGTCTAAAGTGTAATAGAAAACTAGATATAGCGACTCTTAGATATAGCAGGTTTTATGTATGGTAACTTTTAAGATATGAACAAAATATATGGTAACTCTTGTATATGGCAAAGTATATATGACAACGACAGACATATTAACTCCAATATATTACCAAAAATAGATCCGTCAACAAAAAATATGACAACTCTATGTATGGCAACAGCAAATATGGCAACTACATTTTGACATAATATGAACATGGCAACAAAATATGA